TAAAAATGACTTACCTGTCCGCTGGCCTTGTCAGGTGCCACTGGCAAAACAAGTGAGCCATTGACTTGTTTCTGTCAATGCTCATCTGGCACACCTAGGAAGTTACCAGTTTTCACAGCCCTCCACTTTTCCACACCAAATATCACGACTGATATTTTGGCAGTGCGACGTGAATGGAAAGAATAGTATTTAATTCCTATGTGCAAGATATTCATTGCATCTTGTCTTGACCTTTTATAATTTCATTTTGCGACATTAACATTACAAATAAATGGCATACTTGTAAGTGTGTAGGTACTGTCTAGGTATTCCTGTACATAAGTTGTATAAATGGCTTCCACAGTAAAAGAAAGCCCCATATTTCAGTGCACTTAACATTTTCAGTCTTTTGTCACTCATTATTACTAGATGTTGAGCATGCCTCTCAAACACTTCCATAATATGCCTTTGAGATATCTTCTAAAAAGGGGTTGCAGTGCATTTCTGATTACTATAGCTGCTGCCGACAAAAAATGGTTTCCCTTCACTGAAGAATCTGTCAAAGCAAAGGTGAGGAAGGTTTATGGTAACTTGAACAAGTAACGGTGCAAGTGGAATCTAAAATGACCATACAAGATGGCATTTCAGCAATCACAAAACATTCACTAATTTTCTAATTACAAGTAGCACGTTCTTAGCAGGCTGATGTTTTTTAATGAGAAGTTATTCACTAGGAATTTCCTTTATTTGAAATAATGTTTGGAAGTTAGAGAGTGCCCTCTGCTGGGCATTGGCTCCCATAGCAGTAGTTTGCAAAGCGCCCCAAATGTTGACAATTCGTGAAAATGAACACAAAATCTGTGTCTTTCTGCTCAAGATATTTGCTGGTTTCAAGGAAGAACATCTTTTTGTGATTCCTTTATGCATTCTACTCTACTTGGAAGCGTTCCGTGCAACAAAAACGGGTCTCAGTTTGGATGGCAAAGAGCTTTTGACTAATTAAATTTGAGCCTGGTTGGCTTGAGCTGACAGTGTGACTTTATCACAGTGAGCAGCAGGAACATGTAGCGCTATACATTCCAATTTTTACAAAAATAAACTCAATACTCTAAGAGAATATTCATCAGAAAAAAAGGGTGATTAAAAAATTACAGTTGAATTTGCTTCTGTGTTTTCTTGTGTGTCTTTATTACATTATTTCACAGTTAAAAAATTTATAATTATGAGAAGTCAAAAGTGTTATTTTTCTCTTTATCCTTTCTTTAAGTTGTTTTGATTTTTCTGCTTGTTGTTTTGCCAACAAAAATAGCAATACTGTGAGTTTCACTTAATAATTCTATTCTGATGCCTTGGATTTTTGCAGAGTCCATTAAAAAATATGAAACAAAACAAAAAACCACGACAAAAAAACCCAAACCAAAACAAAGCAGTTTACCCACGTTGTAACTTGAATTTACAACTTACAGCAAAGAGGAAAGAAATAGATTAATTTCCCTAGTAATTTAACTGAAAATGTTTAGTAAATTTAACACATGAAATTAAAATCCTTCAAAAATAGAATATTATACTGTAGTAATCCAGCATTTACAGAAAAAAATTAAACTGAAGGCATAGAAACCATTATATATCTTTTAATGAAACTTTCAGATCTCTTCCCTACTTTTTCTAAGTACAGAAAATAAATGGGGAGAAACAATTGCTTAAAGTTAACTGAGAAATTTCTATTAATTGATTGACAGGTTGTTTGTACCTTAGCTTAAAGATGAAGCAAAGCAGCTCTTGTATTTATTGTATGTTTCACGTTTTTCTACAAATCTGCAGACTTTTATAGGCAGATTGTCCTTGCGGAGTTGTTGGTGCCAAACCAGAGATTGTCTGTCTGCTGACTTCAAAGGTGAACTTCTAGGGGAAAATGCAGCCCCTTGCACAGCACCAGCCCCTCCTACAGCACAACTCACTCACTCTCAGGATGGCAGCTCTGGAGTAGAGATCACAATGTGCTCCCAGAACTCTCTGTCCATTCATAGCAGTGCCCTGCAGTCAGCCTTTATTTACATGTGCCTGCAGCTGGAAGCCTCTTTGCTCCTCCAGGGGAGCTCCCTGTCCTCTGCAAGGAGCTGGGAGCCCTGCAGTAACAGACCCCCTAATTAATGGTCACAGCTGGTCATTAGCTGGTCACTGAATCTTCCTTGATGGCCAGCTAATGAACATCCCACTGGCTTATTGTGAGGATTGGTCAAGATAGACAGTGCAGGTAATTTATAGCTGAAGCCCCAGCATTCTAATGGCCTTCCCTGACTGCAATCAACACAGCACTGCTAAGTGGCACTACACTCTTCCTAATTTATTTCTCAGCTGAAACTATTTCATGTTGAATGGGAACTTCAGATTCTACACTTAAAGTTATGTTTGCATGCTTTATTTTGGGGGAAAACTGCTTTAAGAATTTAATAAGGAAAACAACCTTAATCTTAAAGGCTTTTTTTTTTTATGATTTTTGCTCTTATCAGAAGATGTTTATTCTTAAAAAAACAAATCTATGTTCATAATATTCATCTATAAAAAGCTCAGAAGCCCACTCAGAGCAAAAATCATTTATCAGGGGTACCTGTTAGCTGTAGGAGCCTGGAGAGCTTTGATGGTTCAGCAAAAATCCTGTGGTGTCTAATCTCTGCGAGTCATGGATAAATTGGCCAGAAGTTACAGTCTCTCTAGCTGTGATCTTGCCAGCTCTTAAAAGCTATAAAGTTCCAACCAAGCCTTGGCTTGGTAGGAAAGCTCTGGAAAAAGCCCAAGAAGTGGCAGTGATGCATTAGGTAGCACTCTTCTCTCCAAGTCTGGTAGATAATGCCATAGGGGTTGTCCAATTTGCACAGAAGGTGGCTTTGGCTTTAGATGTGCAGGTACCTTCTCCCATTGCAAGAGTGCACAGATTCCACTGTCACCGAGACATTCATAATCCTTCAAGGTTTTATATTTTCATTTTCACAAATTCAAATATCAGAATTATGATGCAAAACCAAAACAGAAGCAAATCCCAAAACCAAAACCAAGCAACCCCTACCCAGCCCCACCCTCCACCTGGTATATCTGCAGTGAAACTGCTATAAGAAACAGGGTTTTGTATGGCAGGGAACCAAGAAATTGATCATGTTCCATTACAGGTTCTCAGGCACATGACCTACATTAAGTGGTGTCCCCATGCTCATCTCATTCCCTGCAAATGGCTTCAAGATTGCAGAAGTCCTTCCCCCAGTGATTCCAAATTGCACTTCTTGAGCCGTGAAGAGATTGAGAAATTGAGTTTCCAGGGAGGTGTCCTGACCATGGCTCCCTGGGGTGTGAAAACAGGAGCTATGCTTGTCTTTAGAAAGAGAGTTTTTGCCCTCTCACTGAAGATACTCATCTAATATTTGACAACTTTGCTCTAGATTATGTGATATTATTAAAATTTCTCATTATACAGAAATTCCACTTCATGCTTTTTGATTATGAATGAGACCCTTCTCTCCATCCTAGCTTCAAGTACTGGAATATTCCTGTATCCTTAGCAGGCCTTGCTTGTAAAAGGTACGGTAGCAATCAAACCGTCTTTAAATGACTAAAAAAACTGAGTTCCTAAAGTTCCAAAACGGATTGGGAAAGTAGCAGACATGGTAGTTGCCTTTATGTTGCACACTTGGGACACAAACTTTTGATTCCAAATCTTTCATGGCATGGATGTGAGAGCTCAAGCCCGGCAGGGGAGAAATTTCTAAGACATTTATTTAATGATTACTTGTCTTCTTGTTACACAGAATCCTGCATTTTCTTTCATGCTAAAAAGTAAATATGATATTCAAATATTAATATTGTGTGTTTTAGAAGAACCAGGTCCTGACACAAAACAGTATATTTTTGAGGAAATTAATTTAACCCAGATGGACTTATGAGATCTTGGTAGAGATAAAGTAGTGCTAACAATGGTTTTTTCTCATTTTTTGTCCAGGAGCTGTCATCAGTCAGCTTTAAAGTCCAAAAATCAAAAACTGAAAGTGTCAATAAAATATGAGTTTGGTCTCAGCAGTAATATAAACTCCATGGAAATACTCTCTTCAGGGGGGAAAAAACCACTTCTTAAATCCCAACACTTTCTTAAGTTACTGTGTAATTATCCCCTAAAGGAACGCCCATGGCAGTTGAGAGGAGTTGGTGCATGTTGAGACAAATCTCTTTAGAGCACTGAACTGGAGATCTTCAGCTGTGTCTGTCCTCTTGCTTTATCTAGTCTTACCAACACACAAAAAGTGTGAAAGTTGCCATTTTGATCCCTGTATGTGCTCAAGATTAAAGCCCAAAGCCAAGTGATACAAATAAAATGTAAGATTCCATAATGAAAATAAACAAAGTGAAGGCGTATTAGCTTTTAAATCCTCATTATAATGATTAAATAAGTAATGCTGTACGTATATATGGAATTTCTGCTCCCTGCTGCATGTTCTGCTAATGGTTCTTCCCATTCTAATGTTCAGGATTAGTTCACATGTGCTTTTTTTCAAGTGTCAGTGCTTAAAACTTTGCTGCTAAAGTAGTTTAGCAATGAGTACCAGCGGTCCCTTGGGAATGGAACTCTACAGGAATACACCAGCCTCTTTGCAGAAACCATTGCAAGGCTGAACTGACACAGATGTAACATCTATTTTACCTAACTTTTATCTTTTTCAGAGAAAACATAGAAATATTTTGTTAAATTAGCTCCTTTGGAAAAGATATAGTCTCTGTGTTTCCTAAGTCTTTCTCCTTAACAATGTAAGAAAACGTATTGAAAAAAAATTAATCATGTTTTTATATATAATTTAATTTCATTTTGCTTGTATTTATTTTCAGAAAATGTATTGAACCTAGTGTCAAGACAAGCAGATAGTCTTGGAAACTTTCAACAGCAGCTGGAAATTGAGGAGCTCTTTGAATATTTTGGTTTTTAAAAAGCAGCTGTTTTTAAATTTTGAAATAAACATATTTTCTTACATTCTTTGCAACAGGCAGTTCTGCTAATCTAACCTGCAGAGCTTTCTTTGGATACAGTGGAGACGTCAGTCCTTTAATCTACTGGATGAAAGGGGAGAAGTTCATTGAAGATTTGGATGATAGTCGAGTCTGGGAAAGTGACATTAGGTAAAAGAAAAAGGTTTTTTCTTTTTTTCTCTATTTTTTTTTTTTTGATAGTTAATGTTATACTTTTTTTCACAGACTAACTAAGGAGCATATTGGGTCTGATCTTTGTTTTTGCAACATACATCCTTTTCCTTTTTGACTCCAGCAGTAGAGAACAGAAAAGTAGAGAACAGAAAAATGCCCTCCTCTAGCCAAATCTGATGTTAGAGCCTTGCAAAAGCAGAATAGCTACCCAAAAAGAGCTGTAGTATTGACCAGTGGCAATGTACCTAGTGACTTTTTCAAAATGTGTCAATCTACTAAAATAACCATGAGGACACTTAGTAAGATGAAATAAAGAAAAATAAAATCAGCTCAAAAAGTATTTTCAAACATGAAGCCTTAAATAAATGGTGAAGTTTGACTTCCCTTTTGGAATGCTTTGATTTCTTCATGAAGAAAACCTGAGTTTCCTGGGATGTTATCTGGCTTGTGAGAGCCAAGCATCCTGTTATGTGGGCTGCTTATATCTGCTGAAATACTTGTTTTGGAGAGGATCTGGAAATTCATGCCATGTACTTCCACTGCTCCTAGAAGTGCTGCCTCATTTAGAAATTAAGGACAAAAGTGGATTCGTATTGAGGATTACATGCTTGACATAGAATACTAAATCCTATCCAATATGAAGTATCTGCTTGGATCTGAAGAGATTCCTTTTTCATTTATACCTCTGCATGTGTGAATATCGCTGTTTCTATGTATCACAGAAATTAAGACTCAGAAATTCAGGCAAATCTTAGTGTGTATGTCATGGTTTAACCTCAGACAGCAAGTAAATTCCACACAGCCACCCATTCACTCCTCTATTATCCCCTCTCAGGTGGGGAAAAGTACCGGAATAAAACTTGTGGGTTGAGATATGAACAGTTTAATAATTGGGACAAAATAAGAGATTATAATAATAGCAATAATACTAACTATAATAGTAAACATATGTTATTAATAATAATTGTAATGAAAATTAGACATAGATTAATAAAACACAAGAAAATGAAATTATGGACAATACAATCACAATTAGCAAAATCAAGAAGACCAGAGAGACTTTCAAGGTCATCATCCCCAGATATAGGCTAAAAAAGGAAGTGTATTTCTCCCCAGTGTACTTCAAGTTTATTCTATAAAAGTCAAGACCAATACGCTGAACGGCACGTGACAATAAGATCAGATGCATTTGGTGTTTAAACCTTTCTGAAGTCCTTCAGCCAGTGACTTGGCTGTCTGATGACTGACAAAAAAGTGACAATAAACCTGTTACGACTTTCCTGTTTTGTGGAGGGGGGAGCAGAAAAGCTCATTTCCACTTCATTTTTCTGGTCTGGAACAGTTTATCACTTGCTTTCCAAAGTTCCTGAAATCACTGATGTTAAGAGGGAAAGAAAGCAATGTGAAGACAAGTGGAGTCTTACACAGGAAGCCTTTTATTTATAATCTGTATGAACTAGCAGCACTGGGAATGTCAGTTCTTCCTACTGTTTGATAAAACATTATCAAATTTATAATAATGCATTCTAGAAATTATCTCTCAGACCATGGCATGAACACACTGTTTCTGAGTGGCATAAAGAAAAGACTCAGAAAAAGGACAAATATTGTGTTCGGCCCAGACTCCTGGTGTGACTCTAAACACCCAGAAAAAATGTTTCCAGTTTCCTCTCTTCTACCATTCCAAGACTTCATGGATCAGGGTCTCCATCAAAGTGTGCAATGATATATTACCCATGTGCATATCATTCTGCTTGAAACAGACAATGAACTGCAGCTCTCATTAACATTTACAAGCCAAACCTCCTCATTAGAAGTGAGGAAGAAAAGGGCATGATATAATTAAATTAAGATTGCATCAAACCATAACCAAATTCGAAGCCAGAGAGTTGTGAGTTGTAAGTAGCATCATTATGTCATGATTATCTGAAGCTTCACTGTGGTACAAGCAGAACAGCAGCGATGCTTGTTTTTTTCTCAGGGTTCTCAAGGAACATCTCGGGGAGCAGGAGGTTTCCATCTCATTGATTCTTGACTCAGTGGAAGAGGCAGACCTGGGAAATTACTCCTGCTATGTTGAGAATGGGAATGGACGCCGGCATGCCAGTATTCTTCTACACAAAAGAGGTAAATATGCAGCTTTTATCCATGAAAGGGTGAAATGCAGGGGTGGTCAGTTTGTAGAGATTCCCTCTGATGCAAGCATGAATTTTAGCTTCCTAAGAATTAATAGTCAATGATTATTTTTCCCCAGGAATTTGTATGACTTGCAAAATAAAAGAGAAAGGATGTTGTTAATTATGGCTGTCACTGGAAAAAATACAGTAACGCCTTTTAATTAGATCTCTGTAAAAGATGCATTTAATAATTCATTAACTTTAAAATTTATAAAGGCTCAATAGAGAAAAAATAGTAGGAAACTGCAGGTTATACAACTTTTAAGTTAATCATTTTCTGTAAGGAAAAGAAAAAATCAAATTTTTGGAAAACCATAAAAAAACCCTTCCACTTCTATCAGAAATGCCACCTAAAATCCATGCCAGGGGGGGTTCCTGCATAGCCTGACACAGACTTTTTCCTTCCAACACTTTTGTTTAACATCAACATTTCTGAAGTGAAATCTCATGAGAGAAGCTTCTAAGAACCTTCCTGTTTCTCCTCACCACTCCCATGCCAGGATTCCAGCCTGCCTAATGGCCACAGCCATCTCCCACCGAGATGATTACGGGGAGATGGAAAATCCCCTGCAAATCAAAGCTCCCAGACCCACTTTGTCCACTCTACCTCCCAGAGGGTGCTCCACAAGCCTGGGATTAACACTCCCCACCCTCATGCAGCTGCCTGTTGACTTAAGAAAGCAAAGAATAAGCAGGAGCAGTGTCCGCATTTTGCTGACATTCCTGTGCTTTTTTTAGACACTTTGTAAAAGTGAGCAAACCAGGATCTTACAGTGGTGCTGAAGTACTTGTGGCATCTCAATTTATATCAAAGCAGTGATATCTTCCCTAAATTTAGTTCTGTAGCATGCAAAGTCTGCCTAAGCTTAGAAGGAAGCCATAAATCTAGATAGTGTGACCAATTTATTTAAATGTATTGTTGGGTACCTCCAATTACTTGAATAGAATTTAATTTTTCTGAACTCTTGTCATTTCCTCTTAAAAAATGCAGATGTGAATTACCAGCTATTCTGCTTATCCTGGCATTTGTCATATTTTCTTGAATTTACTGAGATGAGAAATTAACTTATTAAGTAATTGAACCACAACAATATGCCAGCTAGTAATCATACTCTGGTCCAGAGATATTTGAACCCAGAGAAAGAGCTTGACCCAAAAAGACACTGAAATCCAACAGCTTGTTCTTAATAATCAAATTACTTGATGGAATACTAAAAAGAAAGGATTTTAAAAGCTCAAATTACTTTAAAACCAATACCAATACAAACTGGCATCTATTAAGTCACCTGCTGATGGTGAGTCCTTGCTTTCTCTTCCATACATGCAGTAGCTCCAAGACTAAAAACATGTAAGTCTTCTCTGTTCTGCAGCCACCAGATTTCTAATTTAGCTTTGTGCATGCATGAATTTTGCAAGAATCTACTTTCCTTGCTCCCTTTTTTAGAGAAGTCAGTAAGTCAAACATACCACAGTATGTGGCCTCATGATGACATGCTTAAGAGGGAGTAATCTCAATATTTAATTGCCCTTATTAATACCAAAAGGACAAAAATAGCAGGAAAAACTCGCAAAAATATTTTTTTCCTCTTTAAGTAAGGCTGAATCTGAACTAGATCTGGAAGCAAAATCTGTTGTGCCCTCGAAAGACAAAAGGTACCAGACACAAGCCTTCTACACATTTTGCATGTTGACAACTGTTTCAGTGAAATGATAAATTAAGCATGACAGATAAAAATTTGAGCTAGTCTCTCAGGTCTCCTAGGAAGACGAGTTTTGCACTGCTTGCTTAGTCCCCTGTATATCACCATGACAACCTTTCGGTTTAGGTTTCCTTGTTTAGATCCATATTTATTCTCTGCTAGGATTGAGTTAGCTGTTTATTAATTTCTGATTATTTGGCTGACTTAGAACAGTTGGGACCTAACAATTAGATAAATTTGCTTCCTGTACACCAAGGCATTTGCAGATATATTAGTTTTGGCCAGTTTTCTAGTTAGTGATCTTTTTTCCCAGCAGTATAAGAGTACAAAAAGGATGAATCTGGAATGTTCACTGCATACCTGAAAAAGAAATTATAATCCTTCTTAAACTTCCTGTGTAGAACATTACCACCAGGATCAGAAGGGACAGCAAAGAGAAAACTCTGCTGCTGAACAAAGAGAGTTCCTGGAAAAAGAGGCATTTAGGGCTAAACACTGCAGTGGGCATTCAGGTACAAAGTTTAAGCCTTTCAAACACCCTTGAAACTGCTGCTTCATCCAGGTCAGTAGAGTCTCTGTACACTTAAAAGTCCAGGGGGAGATTTTAGGCATACCTACACTTTCACAGGCCCTGAAAGCATAGAAAGTCAACAGACTAAATCACCAGGAAAAGCCTGGATGCATCTTCCTTAATATTCCCACTGGTCAGCCCAGCGAGGACACACTCCCACCTCACAGAAGCCCTGAGCAGGGCCCATCAGAGGGCAGTCCCTGCCCAAAGCACAGCCTGGCATGTTTGGCCAAAGAGAAGGGGGCTTCTGCTCTCCCCCTGATGTGGCACTGGAATGAAAACCAGAGCCTCACCCTTCCTGACATGAACTAATTTCAGGAGGGAAGCAGAACACAGTGCCCCTGGACTCCTGCACTGTTTGTGCAGGAAAAGTGAACCCAATTTCAGCATGCAGCACTGGGAAAAGCTGGGGCTCCTGGTACCTCCCTCTAGTGCATACACCAGTGCTCTGTGTCTCAGGGAGCCCAGCTCTTATTTTCTCCTGAGCTTCCTTTACTTTTTGACACTAGTGGAGAAGACCTATAATCTATGTTTTTCTGCTGCCAGCTAACCATTTTTTAGAGTTCTAAATTTCCTCAGATGCTGTGCATAGGGAACACTTAACTCACAGATAAAGGCAGTAGAGTATTTAAAGCATGACAATGCCAATGCTGTTTCCTTTTCTCATTCATTCCAAAAAAATTTGTAAAAAAGGATAGGAAAAAGAGAGCAATCAGAACCCAAAAGGTTTAACTTTGATCCCTTTCCTCCACCTTCTGACCAAGTCCCTGTCACCCTTACAATAAACAAGTTATTTTCTCCTTTGTGTGGAGAAAAAAAAAATCTACTTGTTATAATCTAAGGTTGATTTTGTTACTTACTGGTGATAGGTGCCATTGATCATTACAGGTTAATCTTCAGGCAGATGGAGGAACCTTCTAGAAATTAATTTTGAGAGGGGTACTGACAGCAGCTAAGCAGAAATTTATTAATGACAGACCACAGATTGCAGATGATATAACAGGTGGATCATAGACTACAATTCTATTTTTTTCATAAGTTTTTTTTAATTAAAGAAGGCAAGCTTATGGTCTATCAATGTAGTAGATAAAAATGAAAAGGAAAATGAATGTTCTTCTGCAATATTATATATTGACAAATATGACTTTCATGCAGGATCAAAGTCTTCATAATCTTATTTTATTATAGACTGTGTTATAAATACAGGTTATTATCTAATTATGTGACTATTTTTTTGAAAGTCCTCTCTGTGTGTCTGCAAGTAGAACTCTACAGCAAAAATAATCTCAAATTCTATCTTGGAATTATTCTTTAGGTGGTATGGGTATTATTTTAAAGGCTTAATAATATACTGGTATTTTTCCTGGGACAGACACCAGAACTAAGGTAACATGCTTTCCTGCATTTTTTCAAAGTATCTACTTCCCTTTCTTCCCATTGTCATCTACTCAGTGTTATCATCTAATTTCCTACCCTTAGCCTCTTCTTTTGTTTTCCTGCGTCATAGATGTTCTCAGTGGGCATATATGAATTTTGTTGACTGCAGTTTAATAAGGGGTAGTTAAAACAAGTTTTGGATTTTTTTTTTTGGTTTTTTTTTCTGTCAAGAAAAATAAAACAAAATATTTTCACTGAAATAAATTGTTGAGAGAAAGACTGTGTTTGAAACTGTCCATGAAAATATATGTTTGAAAAAATATTCAAGATAATATTTCATAGATGGAATGCCTCTTGAGGAAAACTACCTTAATTTAAACTCATAATTTCTTAATGCATAAATATCATATTAATATTTCCTGTACAATATAACAGCAATTTATGAATAGAAAATAATTCCAAGTTAATTTCATATTAATGATAATAGAAGTGCTGACAAGCACCTTAAATTGCAATGCCATTCACATAATAGTTTAAATCTGGTTTGTTATTTACAAACTTCAATGTATTATATACATTTTCAACCAGATGGAAACCATTTCACACAGTTGTAATGATGAGTGACAATTAAGACTTAAAAGAAAAAAGAAACTACTTCTTGTCTACCCTCAACAAAGAAACCCTGGGTGTTACATCTCCTTTTACCAAAAAGCTTCAGAATGCTTCTGAAATTTCTGAAAGGAAACTCATCATATGAAACATGAGAACAATGAGTTACATTTCAGCTTCTGCTCGTTGGGCCTGAGTACTTAGTTCAATCTAGTGAATCTCTGAGTCTCAGCGAGAGCAAAACTGTTGAAGAACTCCGACCCACTTGGTCAGTTCCGACCTTACACGAGTCTATCTTCCACTGTATAAAGCATCCAGGTTTTATTCTGCACTGCAGGAAAACCTTTTCCAAGACCCTCATCAGGTTTTAGAATTGGAATTGAAATTGGATTGGATTTGATGGAAATTGGTTTTTCATTCACCTATGGCCATTGAAGAAGTCTTCAAGCTGCTCAGCAGTGCAAAGGTTCATTCTCCCAAGAGGTTCACGACACAGGGCCAAAGGTCAAATATTGGCTCCCTTCTTGTCCCAAACTTTACTAAAAGTGACTTTCCTTTTACACTCAACCTCATCTAAAATCAATCAAGGAATAGAATACTAAAGACCTCTGCTAGAAAGAAATTCTTCATAAGATCACTCTTTTAATCAGTCAGCTTTTTCTCATCCTTTAGAAAATTGGACTGAGATAAGTC